TCCTGAGTAGCTGGGATTACAGGCACGCGCCACCATGCCTAGCTAATGTTTTTTTTTGTATTTTTAGTAGAGACGGGGTTTCACCGTGTTGACCAGGACGGTCTCGATCTCTTGACCTCGTGATCCACCCGCCTCGGCCTCCCAAAGTGCTGGGATTACAGGCTTGAGCCACCGCGCCCGACCTTGTTATGTATTTTTTACAATTAAAAATAAAACAACCATTGACCACCAACGAAAAAAAAGCAAGTATATAAGTCATAAAATGGGGCAATATTTATACAGGCAAACAAACACAAAAATAATTATACTGGAAATAGACACATGGCTGATTCATATCTGACTTCTGTCCAAGCATTGTCTTAATTTGTACAGAGCTGAATACTGGCACGTAAAATTTAATACAGAAATAAAAATGAAAACACAATTAATGTGACATAGCCTGCTCTAAAATGAGACACAGGAATGTAAAATTGGCCGAAGAAAATCTAACAAAAAAAATTAACAAAAAAATTGAATAAACATAATGTACTACTGAAAAGTTATTGTTCTAGATAGCTACAGCTTTCAATAATAAATAATTAAGCAAGAAAATGCACATTCATAAAGAGCACATATTTTGGTGGCTTTTCTTATTTCAACTTTACTTTAGGTTCAGAGGCTACATGTGTAGGTTTGCTACATGGCTATATTATGTACTTCTAAGCTTTGGGGTACTACTACTCCTCAGGTAGTGAGCGCAGTACCCAATAGGTTGCTCTTTGGTCCTTGTCTCCTTGTCTTCCTTCCTCCTCTAGTGGTCCCTAGGGTCTATTGTTTTCTTCTTTATATTTATGTACGCCCAGTATTTAGCTCTCACTTATAAGAATAGGCATAATTTGGGTTTTTGTTTCTGCATTAATTTACTTAATGACCTCCAGCTGCATCAACATTGCTACAAAGAACATAATTTTGTCCCGTTTTCATGGCTATGTAGTATTTCATAGGTATGTGGTATCTATGTGTACAGATACCACATTTTCTTTATCCAGTCCACCACTATTGGGCACCTATATTGATTCCATGTCTTTGCTATTGAAGCCCATGAAGTCTGAATTATTAGTGTACAATTAAAGCAATATCATTTCATAGTAAATACATTAATATATTCATAAATACTTTTATGAGAAAATTGGAAGAAACAAGCAGTTCAATAGTACTGAATTATCTTCTATATTGTATCATTATTATTTTGCTATTTTTACACAAAATGTAAAGGTGATAATGCAACCTTTAGAAGCCAAGCAAGCTAGTAAATTTCTAAATAATATGAACAACATAAATATTAAACACTATGGTATAAAACACTGACATACAAAATGAACAATTAGAAACAAATGTATATAATCATTT